TACACAAATACTCAGTATGCCCAAATGGGAACACTGGTGGAGTTCAAGAAAAACAGAATCTTGACATTTGGGAGTTGTAGTTGCTGGGATTTATAGTTCACCTACAATCACAGAGCATTCTGAATCCCATCAACGATAGAATTGGGTCAAACCTCCCACACAGAACCCCCATGTAGGCCACAGCAACGCGTGGCAGGGGACAGCTAGTACATAATATGTCCACATCATTGAGAAAGAGTTAACAACCTTTGCATGCTTATATTAATGTATCAGTAAGCATTTAGGCACAAGAAGTATTTATGGTGACTTTTTGTTTTGGAGGCTTTTCCTGTATCACTCTAACCTTCTCTTCCATCCAAGGTTTTTTGGAGGTAAGTAAAGTATAAAGATTGAGGTCCCCCCCCCCCTTTGTCTGCTACACCTGTGTCTCTCTGTGTGTCAGGTTGGTTTTTTGTTTGTTTGTTTTTGTTTGTTTTGTTTTTTTTTGTTGTGTTAGGAGCGACTTGAGAAACTGTCAGGTTGCTGTTCAGATTCAACTCTGCCAATATGGTTGCGATTATTGAAATAACCACAGCTACCTCTCTCATTTCTCAGCAATATTAATATTGAATGAAAATTCACTACTAAAGAAAATTGTGTGTGATTTGGAGATGGGGAGATGGATGGGAAAGACTGGGATATACTTCTTATTTTAAAAACGGGCTGAATCATATTAGACAATGTCCAAATTTGGGCATCACAATTCAAGAGAGATATTGACAAGTTGGAACGTGTCAAGAGGAGAGTGACTAAAATGATCAAAGGCCTGGAAACCATGAATCCCTATGAGGAGCTGCTTAAAGTGCTGGGTCTGTTTAGCTTGCAGAAGAGAAGGTTGAGAGGAGACATTATCACCATGTATAAATATGTGAAAGCATGTCATAAGGAAGAGAGAGCAGGCTTGTTTTCTGTGGTCCTGGAAACTAGGACTTGGAGCAATGAGTTCAAATTACAGGAAAGGAGATTCCACCTGAACATTAGGAGATTCCACCTGACTGTAAGATCTTTTCAACGATGGAACATAACAGTAAGTAAGATTCTAGGGATTGCACCAGAATCCACTATGTGAGCTCCCACTGTTAGCCCTAGCTCCTGCCAACCTAGCAGTTTGAAAACATGCAAGTAGATCAGTAGGTACCACTTTGGCAGAAAGATAATAAAGGTGCCGATGCAGCCATGCCGGCAATACAACCAGGAGATGCCTATGGACAATAGGCTCCTTGGCTTGGAAATGTAAAAGGACTACCTCCTCATGGCCAAAGTTGGACACTACTACCTCCAGAAAGCCAGAGATGAAAGGGGAAGCCTTTACCTTTTAATGTATTAAAGGCATTCAATGTATTAAATGCACTGAATGTTTGCCTATCTGTGAATGTTGTAATCTGCTCTGAGTCCCCTCGAGGAGATAGTGGAATATAAATAAAGTGTTGTTGTTGTTGTTGTTGTTGTTGTTGTTGTTGTTGTTATCAATGCAGTTAAATTACATTATACTGTCATACAATTGCAGTTGAAACTCAGGCCACATCTATACAACCATACAATGCAGCTTCATATTGCAGTTGAACTGGGCTGAACTGCATTATATGAGTCTAAAGGTAAAAGTTTCCCCTGACATTAAGTCTAGTCGCGGAGCCCTCGGTGGCGCAGTGGGTTAAGCCCCTGTGCTGGCAGGACTGAAGACGGACAGGTCATAAGTTCGAATCTGGGGAGAGCACGGATGAGCTCCCTCTATCAGCTCCAGCTCCTCATGCGGGGACATGAGAGAAGCCTCCCACAAGGATGATAAAAACATCAAAACATCCAGGCATCCCCTGGGCAACCTTGCAGATGGCCAATTCTCTCACACCAGAAGTGGCTAGTAGTTTCTCAAGTTGCTCCTGACATAACAAAAAAAAGTCTAGTCATGTCCAACTCTGTGGGGTGGTGCTCCATTTCTGCAGACACCTCCAAGGCCATGTGGCCAACATTACCTTCCCATAGAAGCGGTACCTATTGATCTACTCACATTTGCATGTCTTCAAACTGCTTGGTTGGCAGAAGCTGGGCCTAACAGCAGGATGTGATGCTGTTATGTGGTTTATGTGGAATTGCATCAAATTGTTGCCATATATTGCCATATTTTAGCCGCTCCGAATCCCTCGACGAGGGAGAGAGGGCAGGATACAGAACAAAGTAAATAAAAAAGCAAATAAATATACTGTCCATATAATGCAGTTTATAAACTGCATTATATGGCAGTGTAGATGGGGCCTTAGTGTGACCACTACCACACAGCTGAATAAAATCCCACATTATCTGCTTTGAACTGGAATAAATGGCAGTGTGGACTCAGATAACCCAGTTCAAAGCAGATATTATGGGATTTTCTGCCTGGATATTCTGGGTTATATGACTGTGTGGAAGGGTTTATTCCAATTAATACTAAGCAATATAATTTCAGCCATAATGTAGAAAAAAATATTGCTATAAAAACCCAAAATCATGTTAAAGTTTTATTTCTTAACTTATATAGGTAGAGAGATATTTCTCTCATTCTCTGTATAACCCATTCCTTATCAGGCCCTTTCTGTTGAGTTTTTGAATTTGTTTTGCAAGCTTCACATTTGTAAAGCCTATGAAGAGTGAAGCCTTATACAATGTGAAATATGGAAAAGGTTCGGATAGAGAATGGAGATTGTTGACACTGTTCTAACCCTTCTTCTTTCTTTTTTCTATTTCTTTCTTGTCTGCAGGGGAAAATATTCTCAAATGTGTTAACAGACAACAACTACTGCAAAACAGGAGTAAAAGAAAAATGAAACAGATCAAGTAAATCTGACCACTAGCTATTGTGTTAGCTGATTATGGATAGCTATTTGAGATCATTATATTGCTAGCTGAATTCCTTTTCCTTTCCTTGTTAAGAAAATTGTGTCTTTTTCCATCCAGTCCAAAGAAAAATAGCTAAGGAACTCCCTATTTCCGGCACCATATGTTTTGTGTGGTAATATGAATAAACAGTGTGTGCTGCTTAGTTTAAAATTAGATTGCTTAATATTTTAAATATTTTACAGAATTAAATGTGCCACTTCTGTAACAATGTTTGTTTGTTTATTTGCCTTTTTACTAGATTATCTTAATGTACTCAACTATGGATCAATTAATTATTAGGTGGTGATGGTATCCAAAAATGTTAGTTTCATTTCGCATATTAATCCTAAATTTTAAAGTCACGTCTTGTGTTCACTATATTTTCATCTTTGTTCTGTGTATTTTAGTATAGTATTTTTTAGAAATAAGTTTTAATATGTGTATGTTATATAATGACTATGTGTGTTTTGCTATGTTGTATCCAGCCTTGAGCCACGGGTAAGAAATATAATAACAACAACAACAACAACAACAACAACAACAACAACAACAACAATGGGTTGCTGTGAGTTTTCTGGGCTGTATGGCCATGTTCCAAAAGCATTCTCTCCTGACATTTCATCCACATCTATGGCAGGCATCCTGAGAGGTTGTGGTCTGAAGATGCCTGCCATAGATGTGGGCGAAACATTAGGAAAGCATGCTTCTGGAACATGGCCACACAGCCAGGAAAACTCACAGCAACCCATTGATTCTGGCCTTGCAAGCCTTCAACAACATAATAATGATAATAATAATAATAATAATAATAATAATAATAATAATAATAATCTGGCACAAGCCAGTAAAGGTGGTCCCAGCAGTGATCAGCTCACTGGGTGCAGTGCCTAAAGACCTTGGCCTGCACTTAAACACAATTGGCGCTGACAAAATTACTGCAGAAGGCTACCTTTCTGGGATCTGCACGCATTATTCGCCGATACATCACACAGTCCTAGATACTTGGGAAGTGTCCGGCATGTGATCCAATACAACAGCCAGCAGAGTGATCTTGTCTGCTGTGGACTCATCTTGTTGTGTTTGAAATATTATTATTATTATTATTATTATTATTATTATTATTAATAATAATAATAATAATAATAATGGGATAATATTTTGCATTCTATATTTGTAATAAATCTCATTTTTTAACAACCACACATGACTAAAGGTATTAAGACACTCACACAATATTGTTTGATCTTTGTACTTGTTGACTTCCCACAAATCACTGCTCTTCAAACAGAATTATTTAAGTTTAATTTATAAATTAAATTCTTACTCTGTCGAAGTCAAAATATTCCTCTTTGCTAACATTATTCGTGTGTTTGTACATTACAATTTCCATAGACTACAGAACATTCCTACATATTGTGTCTATGAAGTGAAATGTTTCTCATGATGTTGGTGTTCGCCAAAGTGATTTTTTTCTTTGTTTCAGAATAACAGAATTTTATATTGTTGAGAAAATCCGACATTATTCTTTGCCTGCACTATTTATTTATTTTTTTGTCATCTCAGGAGCGACTTGAGAAACTGCAAGTCGCTTCTGGTGTGAGAGAATTGGCTGTCTGCAAGGACATTGCCCAGGGGACGCCCGGATGATTTGATGTTTTTATCATCCTTGTGGGAGGCTTCTCTCATGTCCCCGCATGAGGAGCTGGAGCTGATAGAGGGAGCTCATCCGCCTCTCCCCGGATTCGAACCTGCAACCTGTTGGTCTTCAGTCCTGCCGGCACAGGGGTTTAACCCACTGCGCCACCGGGGACCTGCACTATTGAAACAATCAGTTTTGCTCTCGCCTTTGTTCTGGCTTCTAATCTGCCCAAAAGGTTTGTAAACAATCAAACGGGTTATAAAATTAACCCAAACATTAAAGCAATAATTTGAGAGATAGTGAACTGTCTTTCATGTTAAGCCGCTTTGAGTCTTCCTGCAGAAGAGATAAAGCAGGGTATTATTATTATTATTGTTATTATTATTATTATTATTATTATTATTATTATTAACAACAAGAATACTTTTATATGTGGTTTTGTGTCAATAATAATAATAATAATAATAACAATAATAATTTTACATGTGGTTTTGTGTCAGAATGATGATGATGATGATGATGATGATGATGATGATGATGATGGATTTCGTATCACAAAATCACTTCCCAAGTGTCCAGGACTGTGTGATGTATTTCCGAATGATGCGTGCAGATCTAAGTAAGGAGGCCTTTTGCAGTTGACAGATCATGATTCATGTTTATTGTTTCCAAATGCCGGCTGAGATCTTTTGGCACGGCACCCAGTGTGCCAATGACCACTGGGACCACCTGTATTGGTTTATGCCAGAGCCTTTGCATATAGATTTCATTTGCTGTGTCATACTGTGTTTTTGTGTCAGAATTATTATTATTATTATTATTATTATTATTATTATTATTATTATTATTATTACGCTTGGGAAGTGTTCGACTTGTGATTTTGTGATACGAAATCCAGCATATAGATCTCGTTTGCTGTGACATACTGTGTTTTTGTGTCATTATTATTATTKTTCTTATTATTATTATTACGCTTGTGAAGTGTTCGACTTGTGATTTTGTGATACGAAATCCAGCATATAGATCTCGTTTGCTGTGGCATACTGTGCTTTTGTGTCAGTAAAATAATAATAATAATAATAATAATAATAATAATAATAATAWTTTTTTTTTGTTGTGTCAGGAGTGACCTGAGAAACTGCAAGTCGCTTCTGGTGTGAGAGAATTGGCCGTAATAATAATAATAATAATAATAATAATAATAATAATAATAATAATAATAAATCACACAGTCCTAGTCATTTGGAAAGTGACCGCCATGCGATCCAATACAAAAGCCAGGATAATGATCTTGTTTGCTGTGTATTAATCTTGTTGTGTATCTAATAATAATAATAATAATAATAATAATAATAATAATAATAATATACCCTTTTATTGCAAAACTATTGGCTTCTTTCAATTTGCTGTTGTAACTTCTATTTACAATGTAATTGTGTTGCTAAGATGCAAGAAATCTAAAAGATAAATATGGCCTTCATCTAAAACATGAATGTGATGGCCTGAAAGATGGTGTTGTATATTATCTTACCTGGAAGTTAGTCCTGTGAAATCAGACCGAATAGGATTGGACTGCACAGTGAGATACAGAACTAGGAAACAAAGCAGCAATAACCGATTGCAAAGCAGTCAGGAATGATTTAGATAAAATTAAATCCAGAGGATCAAGCTAGTTGAAGTTAAAAATGCATTTTCCCTGTAACATATCTTGCTTCTGTTTTTAAAAAATAGCAGCTACCGAGGTCCTGGCACACAGGGAAAGTCTGTTCGGCCCTCCCTCCGCCTTCTGCAACAGATCCCTTAAAAATGTGGAAGGACTCTCTCCGCTGCATTCCTGGGCCCTGCATTATATTTCATTCCACAAAGGAAGCTGCCCTTGCCATCAAAGGCTGAGTCTACACTGCCATATCATCCAGTTCAATGCAATTCAGAAACTGGACAATATGCCAGTATAGATAGGGCTGAAGACAGGGAGAAATATCAGTTTTCCTGGGACATGCACTGGGGAAAATTTCGTAGGAAAAAAGGTAACTCCAGTTCCACTCTGCACATCAAGTCTCGATCCTGAACTGTCCTCCCATTCCTACAAGACGTATTAAATATGTACTCATTTCATGTTTTACCTACTTTAATCCAAAATGAAACAGAGGGCTGGTATACACACATACATATACATACTTACACACACACATACATCTTCAAGTCTCTGGTGGAGGTGTAAATTATTATAATGCATTCTGAAATGCAGAGGGTGATTTTGTTTGCAATCGTAATATCAACATTTCTCCTTTTACATATTTTACAATGATGTGAACATTATGAAAAGTGGGGTTTTAAAGCCCCACTTTAACCAGTCCCAAAACTAAAGGGGAAAAATGGCCCATGTTACAGGACGAACTTTTCCTACGAAGGAAGACTTCATTCAGTGGGAAAACTCACCAAAGGAATTCCTCTTTCTATCACTGGAATCAATGGGCCAGGATCTTAAAAGGTCACTCAAATGTTCGTGCCTTTCCAGAAGCTCCCAAGATAATTTCCTGATAATAAATGGGTCGTGCCTAATAATACAAAAGATAAAAAAAAGGAGAAAGGAAGGGAGTGTGGAGAGGAAAAAAAACATGGCAGCACCTTTAAGACTAACTAGTTTTTATTTTCGCTCGAGCTTCCATGAGTATAAACTTCTTTTGATGCAGGACAGAGTGGTAATCAATGCCTAGGTATAAATAATGCATTTTCAAATATTTCTAATTTGTCTGGCTGTTCTATATTATATACTAAACATATTAAATTGAATCCAATTATTCCTTTGCCAAATGAACATATAGGGGAGGGGGGTTGCAGAGATATTGCCTATGTCTACAGAAATTTGGTTATATATGAAAAGCCATACAAGATCACAAGATCCTTCCAATAACATGCAGAACTCAGGGATGGATGTTGCCTCTGAACTCAGCATATTTCTTTATTATTATTTTTGATTATTATTATCTTTTATTATTTTTGAATATTTATTTAGTATTGATCCGTGATCTGTTTGCCTATTTTTTGTAAACAAAACCAATCTGATACTGCACCTCGGAATCAGGGAAGTAGCCAAGAAAGGGGGGGGATAGGGGGTCAATTCCCCCCCCCCTCCCCAAATTGTTCAGGTTTTTAAAAAACTTGTTTACTCATGAATTTTAACTGTTAACCAAATCCCCTGCCAGGCCAGGATTTTGATTTGGGGGGGGGGGGGGCTGAGTTGGGGGGGGGCTGAGTCTGAGTGAAAGAGGGTCTACTCTAGCAAACCTTTTGTATCATTACCCCAATACCCCCATGCATATGGGATATATTGAGTATGGTGATCAGATCATGATATGAATAAACGTAACAGTTTAAATAATGCACCAGTAAGGCCTTTTCGCGAACCACCATGAGAATTTCGGGGGGGGGGCTGAAGCCCCTCAAGCCCCCCCCCCCCCGGCTACATGCCTGCCCCCATGCTAAGTCTATGAGAAGCAAAAATTAAACAAGTCCCTCCAGAACTGCAAGCACTATCTCAAGCAAATTTTGACAATTTATTCACAGTCATTACTTGCAGCAATAGCTGATATAGTGGAAGCAACCAAGTTGGCCCACCCACAACTGGTAGGCAAAGCCTAAGGCATGGGAGGGATTTGAAGCCCCCCGTGAAGGAGACGAGAAAATTGATTTAATTAAGTCTATATAAAATATAGAATGAATCATACTATTTAAACTATTTTGTGTTATGAAACTACTTCTCATGATTCACACAAAATAAAAAATCAACCCCACCCCTCCCCCCGAATTTCTTTTCTGGCTATGGTCCTGCTCAGACTATATGGACATCTCTGGATCAGAGATGTCCATCCTATGAGTTGGAAGAACAAAGTTACAACTCAGGATGTACATTTAGCAATCTCTTATAGACAGATTTTTCAAAGTTTGGTGTTACATTTTGTGTAAAAAGAGAAATCATTTTTTCAAGCAGAACTTAAAAATCTAAAATAACCATGAAATAGGACTAGCAGTACGGATGGAAACACTTTTTTTCAGAAGGAAAGTTAGTAATTTACATAGTGATAACACATATATTAGTAGTAACTCTGAAAAAATATAGAATGAATCATACTAGTTACATTATTTTGTGTAATGGAACTACTTCTCATGATTCACACAAAATAAAAAATCAACCCCACCCCCTCCCCCCAATTTTTTTTTCTGGCTATGGTCCTGCTCAGAATATATGGGCATCACTGGATCAGAGGCATCCTATGAGTTGGAAGGACAAAGATACAACTCAGGATGTACATTTAGCAGACAGATTTTTCAAAGTTTGGTGTTATATTTTGTGTAAAAGGAGAAATCGTGTTTTCAAGCAGAACTTAAAACTCTAAAATTAAAATAAAATAAATAAATAAATTAAATTATTAAATAAATAAAATAAAACAATTAAATAGGAATAGCAGTTGAGATGGAAGCACTTTTTTCCAGTTAGTAATTTTTCATTGTAAGGACACATATATTAGTAGTAACTCGGGGAAAAAACAATTAAATAGGAATAGCAGTAGGGATGGAAACACTTTTTTCCAGAAGGGAACTTAGTAATTTACATAGTGAGGACACATATATTAGTAGTAACTCGGGGAAAAAAACAATTAAATAGGAATAGCAGTAGGGATGGAAACACTTTTTTCCAGAAGGAAACTTAGTAATTTACATAGTGATAACACATATATTAGTAGTAACTCAGGGAAAAAACAAATGACATGGTTACAAACTACTATACGACAGCTGCATTCAAGTCTCATTTGCGTCCTAATGGATTAAGATATACCCTTCTTATTCCTGTTGCATGTGTGTTCGCCCTATAGAAGAGCTTCATTTTCCTTGCCTGCCAGAACAGGTCAGGAGTATCACTCATTTCCAGGTTGTAGGTCAGACGCTCTTCCAAAGTACATAGGCCTTACCAGTATGTCTTCCATGAACTACTCGGAAGTCTTCCTTTCCCCGTATGCCCTATTTCCTACCATGCCAGACCTGTGAAGAAAAACACTGAGCATAAAATCTGAAAAGCGCCATGCTTGCCAGTCTTCTCTCTGACGTTTTCTGGAGTCCGTCTTGGTGCGTTTCCTTGCCCAGTCTAACCAATGTGCAGACTACTGTACAACAGCATTGTCCTGAACAGGTAGTCTGAACACTGGGGCGACGGAGCAGGATTGGGTTGGGTTCCTCTTTGAGTCTTTGGGTTTTAAAAAAGCAAAGAAATCTCCCTTCCCATATCGGGCTTTGTTCTCAGCATTCCCTCAAATTCTGCAGCCCTCCTTGAAATGCACCGAAGTGCTGCGATTTCGAGCCTTGACGTGGCACATTTGCAGTAGACTGTGGATCTGGCAATGAATTTAGAACCAGGAGAAAGGGGAGGGCTGGGCCTGAGCATCCATATATGGGATGATGTCACCCTAGGGAGGTTTGGGTATGCACTGTGCCGCTGGTGAGACCGCTGGAATTGCCTGCTCTCAGACATGGGTCTGTGTATAAAATGGTACCAGATGTTTTAGTGTAATGTTAAGCAGTCATTTCATCTTGAGGCCAGGTTTTTTTCTTCAACTGGGCAGGAAATGGGCCCCACTATGGAAAAGCTGTAAAAACTCAAGAAGTACAGTTTTGCTGCAGCAAGTTCAGCTCAGAGTGAATTAAAGAGTTTTTTTTAATGAAACAGCCACAAAGAGAAAGAATAATGTAAACTTTCTGATTCGTGTAGCTGAGCTGCTTTTCCTTTTATTTGCTAGCTTTTTGGACTCTGTCAGAAAAGTGTTTCGTAAAATTCCAAAAAAAAAAAAATCTTGGAAGGAGCGAGTCATAAGCAGGCTGCTTTGGACTTGCACAGTAATTACTGCCACTTCCTGAAAGTGAAGCCCCCATGAAAAGTCTGCAGAAATGTTCTTTGTCAGAGAGTCTTCATAAGTAATTAGTTCCACATGTGCTCTTCCTATTTTCCTCCAGCTATTTGGGCTTCTTGGAGACATTGCCGAAGCTCAAGTCTCGTTCTAAACTTTTCACTCCGAGCGTTTGCCTTGAAACTATTTTGGTTTTATCAGAATTTGTTTTTTACCAGCAGCCCTTATGATCCCGTTTTGTTTTTTTGTTGCTTGCTTACATTTTTGTAATAACTTTAGAGATTGAAAAAACAAAGCTGTTTTCTGAGGGCTATTTCTTGCAGAATACAGAGGGCAACTGGTAGACAGAATATCTTCTCAGTGGTAGACCGTCCTCCATTAGGCATGTTGTTGTTCATTCGTTCAGTTGTTTCCGACTCTTCCTGACCTCATGGAACAGGCCACGCTAGAGCTCTCTGTCGGCCGTCACCACCCCCAGCTCCTTCAAGGTCAATCCAGTCACTTCAAGTATGACATCCATCCATCTTGCCCTTGGTCGGCACCTCTTCCTTTTTCTTTCCATTTTCCCCAGCATCATTGTGCTGGTACGGCTGTATCAAAAGCTCCAACTTGGAACCCCAGGTCTCAGCGGTGGCCGGGAGAGCTTTTGCACAATTAAAACTTGTGCACCAGCTGCGCCCGTACCTTGGGAAGTCTGATCTGGCCACGGTGGACCACGCTCTTGTTACATCCCGAATAGATTACTGCAACGCGCTCTACGTGGGGTTGCCTTTGAAGACTGTTCGGAAACTTCAATTAGTCCAACGGGCGGCTGGTGGAGTTGTTGTGTCAGCTCAGGTCCTCCCTCTTTAAAGATTTCAGCAGGGATCCCATCCGGTCCGCTGGCTTTGTTATTCTTTTGTTGGCTGAAGGCATTCCTGACTTCTTCCAAACTAGGCGGTGCTGCAAGCTCATCCCTGGTTTGTTGTGCTGCAAGCTCATCTCCCTCGATGGACTGTCACCTTGTCGTGGTGAGGGGGGTTGTGTGTTCCAATGAACCTGTGGGCACAACGACTGGAGCCGTGCACTATCTGGATGTGCCCTTACGCAACCTGTTGAGAGTGCATTCACACTTACAGAGTTTGGAGGACCTACTTTTGGGGAACTAGAATCACAGACCACACTAGCTAGAGGGTTCTGAACATTGTAGAACAATGACAACTCTTACAAGCTCAGTGGGGATTATAACTACTCACATGGAAACAGTCCCTGAGTTACAAACATCTGACTTACAAAAAACTCACCGGAGCGTCATACAGGGAGCATACCACCCCCCTGCTATGTCAGCTCCACTGGCTGCCGATCCAGTTCCGAGCACAATTCAAAGTGCTGGTTTTGACCTACAAAACCCTTTACGGCTCCGGCCCAGCGTACCTGTCCGAACGTATCTCCTTCTACGTCCCACCTCGGAGTTTAAGATCTGCTGGGGGGGCCCTGCTCTCGGCCCCACCTTTATCACAAGCGAGACTGGTGGGGACGAGGGACAGGGCCTTCTCGGTGGTGGCCCCTCGCCTGTGGAATGCGCTCCCCGGGGAAATTAGGACATCAACATCCCTCCTCTCCTTCAGGAAGCTAAAGACCTGGATGTGGGACCAGGCCTTCGGGTAAGCTGGCAGATGGACAAGGACAACCAATAATGACCAGAGTAGGAAAGGACAATGACAATGCTAAATGGTTTACGGACTTGGATTTGGTGAACATTGACCATAAGATGTTTTTATTGATGCTAGTATACTGTTGATTGTTTTAATTAGCTATAACTGTGATATTATATGGTAATTTGTGTATTGTATATTGCATTGTATTTTGTAATTGTTAGGCATCGAATTGTGCCTTTTGTAAGCCGCCCTGAGTCCCCCCTAGGGGGTTGAGAAGGGCGGGGTAGAAGCACCCCAAATAAATAAATAAAATAAATAACAACTTCCTTTTCTTTCTTTGAGTGTTTGCATGTATTCCAAAGTTCCATGCATTTTGCAATAAGGTGGCTTCCCTTGGTTTGCAATTATAGGACCAATGACCCATCAATCATTGTTAAGTTTTGATTCCACCCCTTTCCCCAGGGCTCTGGGAGGAGAGGGAGCCATTTTAGGGCAGTCTTGCATTGGAAAGCTTAGCTACAGGACGTGGATTAGCTCCACCTGTAGAGAAGCTTTGTTTCTCACAGCATCCGGGGGAAATGGGAAAACAGTTCCAAAGGACTCCAGCTGGAGAATCTACAAAGCCTTGACTGGTAGGTCTACTCGGGACCCAAGAAGCAGTTTGGAGCCGGGAGTAGAGCCCACACCAGCAAAGTTTAGAAAGTAGATTGCCCAAGGAGGGGTTAAAAAGGGTTTTCCTTTTAAAGAAAATAAACAGTTCACGAAGCCAGTTGCCTGTCCCTTGTGGACAAGATTAAGAAAGCCACCAGTTGATTCAAAGCCTTGAAGCATTTGTTTAATTTGTTGAAGATCTAAGTAGAATTTGATTGTTTGTTGAAGACTTAAGCAATAATAAAGGACTTTGTTAAACCTTTCAAGTTTCTAAAGACTGTATAGGAAAATCCTTAGGGCATCAGAATGGTGTTCTAAGACCTAGGTAATGAGGGAGGGAAAAGTCCGGAAGGTAGGGCGGCTCTCACCTCAAGGAAGGGGCGGAGAGTATGGGGAAAAACGGATAGGCCGGAATAATAGAGAGACGCGGGGGAGGACGTGCCCTGATGTTGCACAGGGCGAGGGGTTTTCCGCAGGGAGGGCCGCTGGTGGGTTGAAAGGGTTACTGCCAGTGGATGTACTGACACGAGGCCGACAAGAGCATGCCTGGTTTCCGAAGCGGCCCAACGTGACGGCTAGAGAGGTCGCCGAGGGCGGCGGTGGAGAGCAGCACGAATGCCTTGATGTCTTCCTCGGGGGGGTCGGAGGAAGGGGGGGGGGGGGGGGAGGGGGAGGGGGGGGTCGAAAGAAGGAAGGGGGGAGGAGAGATATCGCGGCTTTGCTATCCTTGGGGTGGCGCTTGACTCACAACTAGATGTGGGGCCACATTACTGGGTGGGAGGTGCTGTCGATGCTTGAGGGTGCGGCGCTCGGTCTCGGACGGGGAGCGGTCTCGCGGAAAAATACTATCCTTCCCTCCAATGAGCAGTCAGGCTTTATTTCCTGAAGTATGGACTGGTTGGATCTTCTCGCAGTCCAAGGCACTCTCAGAACTTTCCTCCAACACCACAGTTCAAAAGCATCTATCTTCCTTCGCTCAGCCTTCCCTATGGTCCAGCTCTCACATCCATAGGTGACTATGGGAAATACCATTGCTTTAACTATGCAGATCTTTGTTGCCAGTGTGATGTCTCTACTCTTCACTATTTTATCAAGATTGGTCATTGCTCTCCTCCCAAGAAGTAAGCGTCTCCTGATTTCCTGGCTGCAGTCTGCGTCTGCAGTAATCTTTGCACCTAGAAATACAAAGTCTGTCACGGCCTCCACGTTTTCTACCTCTATTTCCCAGTTGTCAATCATTCTTGTTGCCATAATGTTGGGTTTTTTTATGTTTAACTGCAACCCAGCTTTTGCGCTTTCTTCTTTCACCTTGATTAGAAGGCTCCTCAGCTCCTCCTTGCTTGCAGCCATCAAAGTGGTGTCATCTGCATACCTATGGTTGTTAATGTTTCTTCCAGCAATTTTCACCCCAGCCTTGCATTCCTCAAGCCCCGCACATCGCATGATGTTTCTTCCATCAATTTTTACCCCAGCCTTGCATTCTTCAAGCCCTGCACATCCCATGATGTGTTCTACATACAAGTTGAATAAGTTGGGTGAGAGTATACAACCCTGCTGTATGCCTTTCCCAATCTTGAACCAGTCTGTTGTTCCATGGCCAGTTCTTACTGTTGCTACTTGGTCCTTATACAGATTCCTCAGAAGAGAGATAAGTTGATTTGGTATGCCCATCCCACCAAGAAATTGCCACTATTTATTATGATCCACACAGTCAAAGGCTTTAGAATAGTCAATAAAACAGAAATAGATGTTTTTCTGAAACTCCCTGCCTTTCTCCATTATCCAGCAGATATTGGCAATTTTGTCTCTCATTCCTCTTCCTTTTCTAAACCCAGCTTGTACATTAGGCATAGATAATTGCTTTTTTTCTTTACTCTCTTGATCAGGTAAGGATGGGAGAACATCAACAGCAAATTCAGAAGAAGCCCATGGAGGGATGGCAGCTTAGGCTTGGACAACCTCTGGGCCTCTAGCTGTTTTGCCCCTCAACTCCCAGAATTCCTGGCCATTGGACAAGTTGGTTAGGGTTTCTGAGAGTTGGAAGTCAAAACAGCTGGAGGGCTACAGGTTGTGCACCCATATCTGTGTGACCCTAAATCTAAAACTTATGTGTGTGCCTACACCAGATGATGCCAATTTCTATGACAGGAGTCCCCAAACTAACGTCCATGAGCCGAATGTGGCCCTCCAATATCATTTACCCGCCATATGCCCTAAGCTTTAGACTTAAGGTCACCCAGATGTGGCCCTCCAAGATCATTTACCCGGCACACGCCCTAAACTTTAGACTCAGGATTGTCTGAACACTGCCCTCCAAAATCATTTACCCGGCACACACCCTACATTTTAGACTTAGGGTCGCTCGAATGCAACCCTCCAAGATCCTGTACATGGCACATATCCTAAACTTTAGCGTTAGGGTCACCCAAATGCAGCCCTCCAGGATCATGTACCCAGCACATGCCCTAAACTTTAGACTTAGGGTTGCTCAGATGTGGCACTCCAAGATCCTTTACCCGTCATGCGCCCTAAACTTTAGACTTAGGGTTGCCTGAATGCGGCCCTCCAAAATCATTTACCTGGCACACGCCCTAAATTTTAGACTTAGGGTTGCTCGAATGCAACCCTCCAAGATCCAAGATTTTAGGGTATGTGCCATGTTCAGGGGTTGCCTGAACGCAGCACTCCAAAATAAATTACCCGGCACACATCCTAAATTTTAGACGTAGGGTCGCTCAAATGCAGCCCTTTAAGATCATGTACCTGGCACATGCCCTAAACTTTAGACTTAGGGTTGCCCAAATGCGGCCCTCCAAGATCATTTACCTTGCACACACTCTAAACTTGAGACTTAGGGTTGCCCTATGTCTGAAACGACTTGAAGGCACACAACAACAACAATCCTAATTAACTATCTCATCAGTCAAAAGCAGGCCCACATTTCTCATTGAAATGCTGGTAAGTTTATGTTGGTTAAAATTGTTCTTAATTTTAAATATTGTATTGTTCTTTCAATATTTTTTTTTGCACTCCAAATAAGATATGTGTGGTGTATATAGGAATTTGTTCTTTTTTTTTCAAACTATAGTCAATCCCACCAAAGATCTGGGGGACTGTGAACCATCCTTCAACTTAAAAAGTTTGAGGACCTTCAGTGAAATCCCAAAATGATGCACCTCTGCCCCCCACCATCAAGAATGATTGTTTCCCTGTCCTTCCCCTCCCACCCCCTGACCACTGAATGGCTGAAGGGAGCACCCAGCCTGCAGACAGGTAGGTGGATCAGTGAAAACATTACGGCACACAAAGAAGCTCATATACTCCATTTATTTTGTGCAGTCTGAGGATGTAAACAGAATTCTTGGAGAGGAGAGAGCCATGAAATGTGCTCTAGACCCCTGCCCTTCCTGGCTTATTAAAAAGGCCAGAGGGAGACCCCTCTGCCTTCAAGGCAGGGTCCCAACATGCCCCGAAGAAGCTGTGACAAGGACTTTTTCTAAAGAAGCCTTCTCTGGACCTTACGAAACTTGAAAACTGTTAATTGAG